CAAAAAATTATCTTCGCCGAATAAAAATATCTCAGCATCAGCATTGGAAACCACTGCAATGGTGTTCTTGTCCTCTTTCTTCTTTAGAACAATTTGATTCGGCTTCACAGTACCTTTCTTCTCATCTTTTTTCAGAGTTCGGTAATTCGGCTTCTTATGACCAGGCTTCCTACAATAGAAGCACTTCAATTCATATCTCGACCTAGACTGGCCTTTAGATTTATCATGTCTATCACAACGCCGACTCTTGCTTCAACCCCGGTGTCGGACCTTCCCTTGTTCTCAGCAACATTTATCTTAGACGTGCTGGTTACACTATGTTCTCTTCTCCTGGATTCCTCATTCAGGAGGTTGTCATGACATCCATTGTCAATTTTTCATCTGGAGTCGAGTTACTTAAAGTAACTAACCACCAGAGTATCCCAGCTTTCAAGTTGCAAGCTCGATAACAGCAAAGCCTGCATCTCGTTGTTAATTTTTATCTCGGCTTTGAAAAGATAATTCATAATACCTTTGTAGGTGTTAAGGTGTTTGATCATACTCATGTCGTCCTTGTACTCCAGTTTCATAAGTCGGCGAACCAGGTGTGTTTTGTTCCTGGGAGTATTTTTTTGAATCATGGACTCCTGCTTCATCCATAACTCGTATGCATTTATGAACTCGGACAGTGCTCAAAGAGGCTTTTGTGGAACCAATGCAGAACATAAAGATTCTAGGATTTTGATGATAACAAACAAAGCATGAAAGGAAGACTTCAAGTTGCAACAATAAAAAAGAAACAAACAACTAACGCTCATGAAGTCCTTTAAGATTCAAGCTTCAAGAAAAGAATCTAAGTCTAAGAATTCTCAAGTAATATACTTTAGGACTTAGAATTAATTGTGAGGGTAACTGACTTCTTGCATGAATAAGCTCAAACATATTTCTGTTAAAGTACATCATTAAATTATCATTTGATTACACAAAGGATTTATAACATCACGCATTTATAAAAACATGTTTGAAAAGGTTTTTAAATAATTATAAATGTATTTCCAACCTTTCTAACAGGTTGGGAATCAATTCCTTGTGAGCAGGAATCGATTCCCACTCATCTGAAAAGTTGGGAATCGATTCCTATTTCACCAGAAGACGAAAATAACGGCTATAAACAGCTAATTTTGTGAAAATAGGTGTGCAAAGGCTCTTGGGGCCCTCTATAAATAGAGACCATTGTTCCATTGATTGGACAACTCTTCTTGATCATAATTTTTGCTTTATTTCACATCATTTGCTTATTTTCAATCATCTTGACCATAAATCATCTTTGAGCTTTATTCTTGTAAGAGTGTCAATACCCATAGTTCTTCAACTTGTATTATTTGTACTTTAAGAGTACTTAGCCATTGTTAAACACCTCCATTTGATTTCTTGAATAGTTAGGGGAGTGAACCCTATACACTTGAGAGGTCACCAAATTTCTAAGAAAATTTGGAGTGAAAAATAGTAAGGCATCAAGAGCCCGAAGTCTTGAAAGCTTGTAGTAGTTTGTCAAGCACCCTTAAGCTTGATAGCTAGTGAAAAGATTTGATCGAGCGGCTTCAGCCTAGACGTAGGTCACGGTGGTGGTGACCGAACCAGGAAACATCTAATTTGCCATTTCTCTAACCTTAAACTTCTTACTTTAGTATTGAAATTGCATTTTTAAATTGTGTTTATATATTTGCTTGCTTACTTTATTGTTCAGACACTTGCTCTCACATTTAGATTTTTCCTTACTAAATCACTTTATTGAAGAAATACTCTTTAAAATATCAAAGGAGGCACTTTGCGAAAATATTTTGTAAAACTCAATTCACCTCCCTCTTGAGTATTGAAGCCACTTGTCCAAAAGCTTTTGTCAATATATTCCTTGATTATGGCGACTACCATACAATTCAGGATTTCTCACTCCTTCTCGGTCTTGCCTTCAGCCATCTCGTCATGGACTATTGGCTCATATATGTCCTTGCAGTACAGATGGTCTTCCATCATAGGTCTCTAGTAAGTGAAGTTGTCTGCAATCAACTTGAACATGTCTCCGTCATCGGCTACGTCACTGGTATCCATCCTATCTCCTCAGAACCCTTCAAACTCTTCCTCTAATACCATCGTTGGGAACTCGGTTCCCTTAAACTCGGCACAAAAGCATTTGCAAGTCGGACGTCTAGCTCGGAGTTCGGCACACACAATAGAGTTCGGCGCAACGAAAAAGTAAAATTTGCAGATAAGAGAGAGACAGAGAAGAACACAATCAATATTTAATGTGGGAAAACCTTTTCTAATATGAAGAAGTAAAATTCCACGGGACACTAGTCTAGAATCAAACTTCCACTATGTAAATAATGGGTTACAAATGATCAAATTTCCCTAGTTTTTCACTAGAAGTATAATCAAGGTTCGTCAAGTATAGTGGTAGTCTCAAAGGTCTCTAAAGATGTCTCTCTTCAAATTTCTCTTTGGAGGTACAAAAAATTTATCTCAGCTAACATATTACAAATGAATTCAAGGGGTTTTTATATAAAGGAGAGGGTCCACCTTTTTCTATAATATTCTTTAATCATTAGGTAGTTGAGGTGGTTGTGGCCTTAAGCCCTGCACCGCGTTTAATAACGTTCACTTCATCATTAATGGAGGTACGTCACCCAACATAAAAGAGTTTGATTAAATATAATAGTATATAATTAAATAGTAATCTAAAATTATTACTCTTGAAGCTTATAGAAAAAAAAAGATTAAAATTTAAGTGCATTATAAAATATATTTGCTAACAATATCTTTAATCTTTGTCTTCTATTTCTGTTTTGTTGCAGTTATTTTCCATGCAACTACTTCAGAAAAGGATATTAGTGAATGAATGACGTTCCAAGAATTCTTAAAGAGGTTTGGGTATACCCTGATCCTAATGGAATGCAGCGTCAAAATTCTAACTAAATTTTTGTGTAAAAAAAAAAAAATTCACCCATGCCTGTGGTTTTGGTAAATTGAACTAAGTACATACTGCTGTTGTGTTCAATGGTCACCTAAACTAGATTTTCTTTGTTAAATATGTTAAACTTTCTGGTAAAACCAATACGAACATAATAAATTGGAAGAAAATGTGTCATCCGTTGCTATTGGGAAAACCTTACTTATATATCGGTAGCTTTTTATAGGTGAAATAAAGATCATAATATTGCTCCTTAGACACATGGAAGTGTATTATAATCAAGCATAAAATAAATATATAAAGACTATCCCAGATGATCTTCTTTGGTTGCAAGTAAGATAATGTTACAGTTTTAAAGTGTAAATTGATATTTAATGTTAAAAATATTAATAATTTAGTTCAGATTTGTATAATAAACTGTAGATCACTCCCTTAATTTTCACTTGCGACAGCTAGCTAGATTGTACTTTATTTCATAAAGTACTCCTTATACTTTAGGATTCGGATTGTCTTCCAAATACTATGAAAGATTAAGGAATACTGGGTTCAAAGAAAAGAAAAAAATAGTAGGCACATTCCAGTTGCATCATTGAGGTGAAGAAAACTCTAATATTAATTACGAATTACTAAAAAAAGTATATATATAAAAAAGTTATAACCTGAAAGGTGCAAGAGTGATATCCAAGATTTTAATTTTTTTATTAGTGAGCTGAGAAGAGTAAATATTAGTCCTGATTGGTTCAATTAAGCAGGCGTGTACCATTTTAATCATCAGACACGAAATTGACCATATATTTATTTCATTATAGATCCAATGACATCACACCTTAAATCACAACCAGTTCCCAAGAGCAAAAACAAATTTAAAAAATAAAAATAAAAAACTCACTCTCAGTCCCACGAATTATAATATTATATATTTTTTCAGGAGTGTTTGTATAAGCAGTTTTATCAATTTATTTGACCCTATGCGGTGTCTCATTCTTGATCTGATCATAATTGTGGAGAAAATAAGCCGTTGATTTCGGGGAAAAATAAAAAAATAAAAAATGGGGGAGGGTTTTCCAGCAAGATCACAGAGTTGACTGAATAATTTTGGTTTGACTGTATTGGCTGTAGTACAAGGCTTCAGAGGCTACAGCTGGAAAACGTAGCAGGACAAGAAGGTAAAATTGATGATTAGATTCCCTTATTCCTTATGTTCCTCACTCCCCAAAGTTAAAAAAATTGAAAAAATAAAAATAAAAATAAAAAAGTTTGCTGCTTCAGAATTATTACATTATTACTTAAATAAATGCTCTTTCGTTAAAGCAGTGACAGAAGAAATCATAGCCTGCACTGCCACCTCACACTATTCTCTCATCCCTCTCTGAATCAGATCCTTACACTTGTCCCCCCGTGACCCACCGATCTGCCATGACACATAGGTTATATTGTTTTGAAGGAAGATTTGGTGGGGTCTATAGTTTGGGAAACAATGAGAGAGAGAGAGAGAGAGAGAGAGAAAGAGAGGTTGATGAAGGATGATGGAGGTTAGGTGCATATAATCGAGGATTCTAAAAAGAAATGAAAGAGGTTAGTTGGCACTGAGTAAAATGAGTGTGTAACAGCAAAGAAAGAGAGAGAGAAGGATGTGTGTGTTACTTAGAACAGTTGGCAAATGTGTCAGTAAAAAAAAGGAAAGTAATGAAAAAAATAATACTAAAGAAGTAATGTTTGTTAATGAATACATAGGGAGCAAGCTTGGACTTCAAGAGAAGAACCTCTCGAATTCAATCTATACACTTTGAAAGGGAAAGAAAATAAAAATAAAAAATTACATACACCCGGAAGAAAAGCAGAAACATTTTTAAAATATTGATTAATCTAAACCAAAACTGAAACTGAAAATTATTACAATGAGTAAAGTATAGGGGCAAAAAAAGAAAAAGAAAAAAGATTAGGTTGTTCTGCTTCAGGCTTCAGCAATAATTTACCAACAGGAGCAGTTGGCAGTAGTTAGTGTGTCTTTTAAAATGATACATGTCACCTCATAGCTTGGGCAGGTAAACAAAGCAAAGGGCTCTCCCTCTCTCTCTCTCTCTCTCTTTCTTTCTATCTCTATATGTGTCTTTCTTTCTATCTCTCACTCGCTCTCTCTTTCTAGCTTAGTAGCTCCTGGTGTTGTCTGTAATCTATAAAAGTTGGATTTTTGTGCTACCTTTGATGTTTATGCTTAGTACCCAATTGGTGAAATTGGTTTTTGCTGTCGAATTTAATCTACATAGCATTTGATGCTCCCCTGTTGATACTGTCAGACACAAACCCAGTAAAGTGAACTGTGCTAAATCCTGTCCCTTTCAGTTTCACCGGTCATCGCAGGATTTGAGTAGAATTTGATGCCTTTGGTCGTTCCTTGTTCTTGGATTCCCATCCCAGAATTTATTAGCAAGAGTTTCCGCAGCCCTTCCTGTCCTGTCTTTTAAATCAATAACTAAATTCTTAAAAAAAAATAAAATAAAAAAAATACTTATTTGTTTGTTTGGAGTTTGTTCAATGTGTTGTTCCAAGCAAAGCAACTCTCGTCTATAGTGATAATAATCTTAGATTAACATCAATCTCGTCGAGGTGTTTTTTGATGGAATATTTGAGATTTTAGTTGTTGTTGTGTGGACAAAGGAGAAAAGGGAATCTGCTTTACTTGTAGTTTGATGAGCTGTTATGGCTAATCCCATTGTTCGTCTGTCTATGTTCGCTTTATGCTCTGAAGACTGAAAGGTTCACTTTCTTGTCTGTGAGGAAGCATTTTTACCCCTTTTCCTCAGCATTGAAGTAGGAGTAGACTTGATACTAGGGTTTTTGAAGGAACAGGTAACAAGCTGGTGATTTTGAAGAGTAGATTCTATTCCATTTTACTTTTTATTATCTAAGCTACAATGAGGGTTTTCTTTTACTTTAACTTCCTCTCCAGTCCTATAAAGCTGTCAAGCTATTTGTTCCTTGTTTAGTCCTGCAAGATATCTCTCCATCCAACTTAGTCAAAATTCGCTTTCCCTTTAATCATTTGCAGTTGTTTATTTCTTCTTCTGTATTATACCTAAATGCACCCCTGGTGTCATCAAATTGTTAAGTCTGGATTGCACTAATTGATTCATATATATATATATACATATTTATAGGTTAGTTTTCATAGTTGTAACGGTTTAGGCAATATTGAATTCAGATGGGTAGTGGTCAGGAAAATGCAATGGGGTTTCAACATGGAAATGAGAGCATTCTGACTTGTCCTTCATCGGGTTTGAGTGCAAATGTTTCAGAGATGGATATTAGTTCTGTGTCTATGGTTAAGCCTTCTTCAGATGTAGCTAATCCTTTTCTTGCTTCTTCTGCTTGGGATCCACTTGTTTCCTTGAGTCAGGCTCAAACTTTTGGAGGCTCCTCTTCAATTGTTTCTCATAGTGAGTTTGCCAATGCCAATTCATCTTACCCTCTTGTTTTGGAAAATCAGGGAATGAGCAGCAACTCTCACCTCGTTCAATACATGTCTGAGTCAAATCTTGCGGGCATGGTTCCCAAGGTTCTTCCCTCCTATGGAAGTGGAAGCTTCTCAGAAATGGTTGGTTCCTTTGGCCAACCTGGGTCTGGTGACATAGCTGACACAGGGTATCGATCACATTATAATCCCAGCAAGGATATTGGAATCGAAAGGGCAACAATACATGGTGAACAATCTCAGATTGAGGACTCAACTCTTGAAGAGGGAGCCCCAGGATCTGCACCTAGTGGACTTAGGAGAAAACGAGGGCTTGATCATAATTCTACTTTCAGTCCAAACAAGGTTTGTTGCGTGTAATATATCAATCTCACTTTAGGACTTGGAATATTTCATTGTCTTGTTTTTGTGGTTTTGTGAGTTAATGAATGAAATGCTTTATGAGCTCATGTTAGAATGCTGAGAGTGATTTGCTGAAAGATTCTCCTATGAAGAGCTCTGATGGTGCAAAAGAACATGAAAAGAAACCAAAAGTTGAGCACAATACTAGTGCTGATTTGCGTGGGAAGCAAGCTAAAGATATCTCTCTCAGTGGAGAAGCTCCCAAAGATAATTTCATTCATGTGAGAGCTCGAAGAGGTCAAGCTACGAACAGCCACAGCCTTGCAGAAAGGGTACCCCCTCACCTTCTTACTACAATGTTTGTTACAAGAAACCCATTTTTTTTTATTGTATATCTAGTTATAAAACTTTTTGGTTGCAGGTGCGAAGAGAAAAGATTAGTGAGCGAATGAGGTTGCTTCAAGAACTTGTTCCAGGATGCAACAAGGTGATTTGATTGAGATGATTGTGTTAAACGATTTCTCATTGAAACCATTATATTGTCTCTGCATACTAATTTTCTCATGTCTTTGGTTTCTCTTAGATAACTGGCAAAGCAGTAATGCTGGATGAGATCATAAACTATGTACAATCACTGCAGCAACAGGTTGAGGTATGAAAGTAGTGCCATCTTATAAGTATTCAATTTATTATTCAAACTTGAATGATTGTTGATCAGTTTTGCACTGTGCACATTTTCAAAGTGGCAATTCCATTATTATGGTTTTGTGACTATTCAACTAATTAAGAGATACTTTGCAGTTTTTGTCCATGAAACTTGCCACAGTGAACCCAGAACTGAATTTTGATGTAGAAAGGATTCTATCCAAGGATGTAAGTAAAGAAGGCCTTAATCTTTTAGGTCCTTTTAATATTCTTAGTACACAAAGTTATGATAACTTCATTTCTCTTGTAATTAGATTCTCCAATCACGCATAGGACATGGAATTGGTGGATATGGTCCTAACATCAGTTCCTCCCACCCATTCAACAATGGAAGTTTCCAGGGTACCATGGCTGGCATGCCTAGTACATCAACACAATTCCCTCCTTTGCCCCAGGTAAAAAGAGTAAAGATCTTTGAACACCCCACTCTTTATTTCTATTGTTTGTGAAAATACTGATACATGTACATGCAGACTGTTTTGGACCATGAGTTTCAAAGCTTCTATGGAATGGGATATGATTCCAATACAGCACTTGACAATTTGGGACCCAATGGTAATAACTAAAAAGCAAAATCTTTTTAATTTTGATTGTTTTCACAATCAATTCAGGTGTTTGCTTTCTTCTAATTTATTGTCATGTTGAACAGGGCGGTTGAAAACAGAGTTATAGTGTGTGGAATATACTATAGCCTTGTTTCAACAACAAAGAGACTTCTGAGTTTTTCAGTTGACTGCACAATTTAACTGAAGTTGAAAAGGAGGGGAAAATAGAGAGGGAAAGGAAAAAAATAAAGGATTTAGTTGTATAGGATCTTAATACCTAACTGTTGGCTCTTCGAATTTTTAGCAGAAGATGACTTGTTAGATTTTATCAATTGGAAAATGAGTTACACATGTTATGTGAATATGTGTAAAATCTAGATCATTCAGAACAAGTTGCAGTGGTCTTATTTAATGACATGGAGGGCAGTATTTGAGGAACATGCGAGCAAAGTGTGTGCGTGCAACTATTCATTACTTTTATAAAATTATGTATAGAGTTGCCTGGCTAGGATTTTTGAAGCTCATTGTTTTCAACAGTGTTTCAGATTAGAGAATGTGTGTGTACTTTTTGTGAGGGTTTCTGGTTGTCCTTATATTGTTCTTTTTTAAAAAGAAAGTGTAACCAATGAAGAGCTTCTAAGTGCATACAGGGGTGAAAATGTTGAAACATGTATGAGGGTGAGAGAATGTTTAGACTTTAGAGTAGATAAATGCTTCGAAGAATGGCCTCATCTTTTTTTTGTGTTTCGTTTATAACATGTTCAAGATAATTGGAACCAGACGCTTAGCCTATTAGAGAGTTACGGTTAATTAACAAAAATCAATTAGAACACAGTTTGTTATTATTAAAATAAACATGGCTGCTTACCTACACAACATAATCGAGAAAGTGCATAATTTATCTTATTTACATATCGAGTCTTCGTTATTTATAAAGGGTTGGTTTTGAATATAGGATTTTTGTATAAAAGATATGCAATTGGATTATAAATCTTCGTTGTGGAATATGGGAGACAACAACCTTTTTGCCTTAAAATGTCATATTTCATAGATAATTTGTCAATATATCATTACCAAAGTCCCTCATTATGCCATGTGTAAAATCGTGGCCGTCCATCCTCCATCCATATTTATACACTCATTCGATTATAATTTCTTCCTCTCTCAGCTTCTCTCTTAAACTCAAATAAATAAGTTTCTAATTCTTCCCTTTTAATTTTTATGGAGTAGAATATAAATTGTAGGTAGTGTAGCATATTAATTGTAAATATAGGGTCGGATATTAATTCAATTATTTAGATTATGTGTGTAGTGCTTATAATTAAAATAATAATTTTTAGTGTACTAATTAGTAGTATAACTATAGTATAAATAATAAACTTGAAAATTAATGTTTATGATAATTATTAATTAGTGTGTAAATTATGCGTTAAATGCAATTAATAAATAATTTAATAATTATTAAGTGAAATAATAATTAATTAGGGAACGAAATTACTATTGTAGTGTAAATAATTAATGTATAATTAGTGTAGGGATTGATTCAATAATTTAATTTATTAATTAGTATTGTAATTGATTTATTAATTTTTGTGAATTAAGGGTAAGCTCTCAGATATCATATCATGATCAATCTAGAAGGATCATTTTTCTCCACAACTATTGTAGGATATATCTTCATATAATATTGTTTTATCACCATCTTCACATCATGTTTGGATTCAAACTATTGATTCTCATACAACTTTTGTCCTAATTGCCAACTGCCCTAATGCTCCTCCTCAATGCCAAGCCACTCTCGATCTAAGGTAAGCCCAATATATATATATATATATATATATATATATATATATATATATATATATATATATATATATATATATATATATATATCCACTATCACCCCAAAGTGAAGTATTACTATGACCTACACATTCATATAGATCAATCAGATGCATAAACCAAATAATCCAAATAGGTTTAATAAATTATGCATTTCATACACTACCTTAAACTTAATGTTGATATCCACCAACAACGCTTGGTAATAGAACTTGGGGGCATATTATGACATTTGTGACACCTCAAGTGGACATAGTTTAGTATCAAAATCACCCTCCATATCGATATTTGATTACTCACTATTCGGAAGTAGACTCTTGTCGACTTCATCCTCATCATTGTCTGTGGACCTAGTAGGATTGTATTTGTATTTCAGGGATGTCGCTTGACTTGAAATTGGCGAAGATGGACGTGGAGAGGAGTAGACATACCCCTTTTTCGTTATCAAAATACGACTCCCTATTTATATATATTGACTGAATTGGAGACAATGAAGGCTTACACAAAGAGTGTTCAGTAGAATCCACTTTCACATAAAGATCCACAAATCTTCTACGTAGCTAGCTAAGAAATGCATCTACCATGCACGTCACATCATCATCATCAACAACTTCCACACATCACCATTTCTTATCAATAATGTCATGTCTAGCCATAAAGCAAGAAATAATTTGGTCATCTTATAGCCATAATTTCTTATGGGTTGTCTTCTTTAGAACATTATTGCTAGAACGAGGACTGATGCACATCGTTCTTGATTTAGCTTCAAAAATGAGACATTCGGGTCCATAATATTTTCCACCATTGTGGTTCACTACCACTATTAAGGATTCACAAGTAGAACTCATTTTTTGGATGTGTTGGAAAATAGTAACTAGGATTATAAGAAAATTATACTGTGAGAGTAGAGGTATATAGGTGGAATTTCGTGGCTGAATGATTGTGTAGGGGAGGAGATTTGTATAGAGAATGAGGGTAGGAGTTAGGTGAGATGAACGGGTAGGATTGTGCTATGAGACAAAATTACGTGACTTTTGTTAGGTTTTTAGCATAATTAGGGGATTGAGGTGTTAAGTAAAAGGGATGACCATGATTTTACCATGTTGCACAATGTCATGAGTCCAGTTGTTAGAGTCAGTTAAACTAGTTCTGTTGGGCCGAGCAACAAGACAAATTCAATTATGTATGACAACATGACTTCGCATTGTGCAACATGACAAAAAATGACATGTTAGGCCTAGTAGCAAGACTTTTGCCATGGCATATTGGAAAATTGTTGGACAATCGAGTAGAGTATACTGTGAGAGTAGAGTATCATTTCCACGAGAATTAGATTTTAATCACTAATTCGCCATTTACGCTTAAGTTGGACAATCGACCAAGAGAGTTGTATAAAATTTAGCTTCAAAAATAAAGAATAAAGATAATGAGCGAGTAACTTGACTAGGATTTCGATCTCCCCCAATCTTTCCTTTATGTTATGAATTAAAACCCTTAATTGAACGTCTTCTTCATATTGTCAATTGATTCCCATAAATTAATTAAGACTCAATCCCTTAACATCCTAATTCTTTATTTTCTTTAAAGAATCCTAGTTCCCTGGTTAAGAATCATAAAGATTGTACAAGATATATTGGAATTACTATAATAATTTTTGCTAATGATATTGTAAGGAATAATGTAAAAAAATTATTTTTTATTTATTTATTTGCTAAGTACTTCATTTGTTATAATATCATCTAACAACTTTAATATAATAATGTGCTAACTTTGAAGCAAGTAAAAAATTACTTAAAAATTAAATTCTTATTTATGAAAATAAATTATACTGACTAAAAATAATATATATATATATATATATATATATATATATATATATATATGGGTCAGGATCATTTTACACCAACTAAGTTACACTCTCAATCTTGTCTGTTGATCCCACTTATATCTAAAGGCTTTAATTTTTTAGTAATGTGAGCCATTGGATACAAGTGGATCAATGATCAAGATTAGGTGTAAGACTTCTAACTCTTACATTGGTGTAAGAATATCTTGTCCCTATATGTGTATATATATATATAAAAATAAAAAATTGGTCCACATGTTTGTCTCTCATATCCTTATACACTAATAAGGAATGGTATTTCATTGAGAGAAAACAAGTATACCAACCAGTGTTTTAAAATCTCACCCCGCTTCCCGGGTTGACCCCGACCTCTCTAAGGGTTGGGGTCACAAGTTGGACCCTATATGCACATCGACCCCTCCGACCTCCAAAACCCGACCAGATTTTAGTGACTCCCGGGTCAGAGGGGTCAAAGGGGGTGACTGCATTTTTTTTTTTAAAAAAAATAAAAATCCATGAAACAACGTCGTTTTATTAAAAAAATAAAAAGCTTGCAAAAAAAGGTTACAACAAAGGTATTATAATGTATACATATATGTTTCCAAAAAAATAATAATAATAATTTATACATACATTAATTGTTTATTTTCTTTTAGACAAATATATGTCTATATTTGTTGATGTTGAATATTGAAAAAAATAAGAATCAATTGAAGCACCAAAATTATGATCCAATTAATTTGGAAACAATGGATGATCATTCTACTAGTTGGGTTTTTAAGGAGTCACCACCATCATTAATGATGAAAAGGTAAGATCTTTGAGGAATAATACCTTTGAACCGATTATAGATAGTATTGGTATGTTTCTTTATGATTATAATTCTATTGTTTAATTTGATGATTTGATCACGTTATATTATTTATTAACTTACATATAATATGTTATTGTAGATGAATTCAATTTAGATGAGGATGATGTCAATGATGAACCCCATATGGCCATTGTACCCCAAAATGAAAGCAATGTTCCTCGAGGTTTGGATGGCAATGGTGGAGAAGGATAAGGATAGCGTGAATTTGATGATGTTACTTTTCATTAACTCCATTAGAATATGAGTTTTGTACTTTGATATCTTGATACTTTAATTAGGTTGTATAATATTAACTTGTGGTTGTAATTGGTGAATTATGTTAAGTATATTTTGAATATTTGATAATTGGAGGTTTGTTTTTTAATATTTTCATAAAGGATATATATATTTATATTTTTTTAATATATAAAATCGGGTCAGCGAAGAGACCCCTTGACCCCTGACCTCGGCCAGGTCGATGGTCGGGCCAAGTTTTTAAACATTGATACCAATTAGAAAAAGTACATCTACGGCTTATGATGCATTGACATAGATCTCAATTAAATGGGTGTTTGGTAGAGGGATAAATTTTAGATTTTTGGGAAACTGATATTGGGAATCATATTTACCCACATTTGATATAAGGATTATGAAAATTTTCCTAGAAAAAACAGATTCTCAGTATTCCATTTTGTGATGCAAAATACTAAGTTAGAATACCACCGGTGGGTGGTATTTTCAGATTCCCACCCGGTGAGAATATTTACCAAATTTTTTCGGACAAAATTACCCTGTCTTGTTGGCCCAGCTCTGAAATATCTTCTTCTTCTCTTCATTTCCTAGCGATAAACCAAGAAAATTATTTGGTGGTATAATGGTCAATCCAACGAACCTCTTCTTCATCTTCTTATTCTCTTCATTTCCCAAACACAAACTTGTTCACAAAAATAGCACTCTAATTTACCATACAATTGTCTATTCCTACCTTCTCTTTCGCATCCAT